ATTTACCATGATTACTGACTTCAGCTCTCATTAATGAATACTAAATAAGAATACCTAAAATAAAGTATGAATTCACTACACGGTAACAGTTTGAAATTATAAAAAAAAACAAAAAAAAAAAACCTTCTCTCTCCTTTCATTATTACAGTATGACCACTGTTTTTTTGGAAAGCCATGTATATAGTTTTCACACTGTTTATATTCAACAATTCTGCCCCTACGCATCTTGTTTTGTTTAGTGACACACATTTGTCACTTTTGTTACCCTTGTTTACACTTTTTATTTTCACTTTGTTTCCTTTATCTTTGTATATACGCTTTTGTTTTTTGTTTTTTCTTTATTTTTATTTTTACTCCTTAGTTTGTTGTCACAGTTTATCCAACATGAATAGTCAAATGATTTTGATATTTGTTATTGCTTGCGGCTCTTACAATCAAATTTCTTCATTTGTTCAAAATTTCTAGCCAATGGCAGGTAACACAGTGTCACAATATCGAGCCGCGATAGGAATTTATTACTCAAAAACCAGATGCACAGTAAAATCAATGCTACTCTGTATCTTTGATTTTAGAAACGTACTTTCGTATCTATTACAGGTGTATAACTATTACTTTCAGATGTTCAAATGTATAGCCAACCAGAGTATGAAAAGCTCAATGCATGTATATTTTTGCTTGCAAATTATTCATCTACTATTATTATTGTCTGGCGACATTGAAACCAACCCTGGTCCGAATGGTGTTCCTATTCATAGTTTAGATATTTTTCACCTTAACATTAGGAGTATTAGAAACAAAATAGAAAGCTTAACCTCTTATGTAACAGACTTCGATATCCTATGCTTTACAGAAACACACTTGGACGCAAGTATAAGTAATTGCGAAATTTCAATTGAGGGATTTAATACAATATTTCGAAAAGATAGGAATTCGCACGGAGGAGGAGTTCTTGTTTATATATCTGAATCTCTTCGAGCCATAAGACGCGATGACCTTGAACCCACCTTATTAGAATGTATCTGGTTAGAAGTGTGTGTACCTACCTGTAATTTTTTTCTCTGCTGTGTATACCGTCCACCAAATAGCAACAAATCCTTTTGGAATAATCTTATGTGGTCTATAGAAAAAGCTTCTGATATTTCCAGTAAAATAATTTTAGTCGGAGACCTTAATGTAGATTTCTTTAACATTCCTCGAACACACATCATGAATGAAATTCTGTTAAAAAACAATCTCACAAACACTATCAATGAAGCCACTCGTATCACGAGCTCATCGAACACACTTATTGACCCAATTCTTGTCAATCCAGATATTTCAGTTCTTCACTCAGGCGTGTTACACACAGACAGTGCAATAAGCGATCACAAAGGGACATATATTTTTCTTAAATCAAGCGTTAATCTAGACCAATCTTATGAACGTAAGGTGTGGGTATATAAAAATGCAGACATAGACAAACTAAATTTACTTATCGAAAGTACCGACTGGGCAAACCTCGTTTGTAATGCACAAAATGTCAATCAGGCAACTGAAAACTTTTCTTTGGCATTCATGAATATAGTTAGACAATGTATACCTGAAAGATCTGTTATTATACGGCCGAAAGATAAACCATGGTTTGATTCCGCATTGCGCAAAACTCTTCGTATAAAAAATAGACTTAAACGAAAAGCCCAAAAAAGCAAAAAAGACTCTGATTGGACAAATTTTAAACAAGTGAGAAATAAGTTTAATAATATGAAAAAAACATGCAATTGAAAATTACAAGAATAATCTAGAATTACATCTTACTGACGCTAGCAAAAACAACTCGAAACTATACTGGAAATTATTGAAGGATGTTTTTAAAACTAAAGTTACCTCTGATATTCCACCATTACAATATATAACAGATACTGGTTGTACAAATATTGCTTATTCAAATGAAGATCCTTCTGTAATGTCTAACTATAGACCAGTTTCATTGTTGAGCTGTGTTGGAAAAATCATGGAAAGAGTTGTGTTTAAATATATTTATAATTATTTTCATGACAATAATCTTTTTTATAAATATCAGGCTGGTTTTTTACCTGGTCACTCAACAGTATACCAGTTAATAGAAACATATGACAATATTGTAAAAGCTATTGATGATGGAAAATTTTGTTGTATGGTATTTTGTGATCTTTCAAAAGCGTTTGATCGTGTTTGGCATAAAGGTATTTTATTTAAACTTAAAACATATGGAATTTCTGGTAGTTTGTACAAATGGCTTGAGAATTATCTTGAATGTAGATATCAACGGGTGATGTATCGTAACTTGTTATCAACACCCAAACCCTTATTTGCTGGTGTTCCTCAGGGCTCCGTTTTAGGACCACTTTTGTTTTTAATTTATGTGAATGATGTTGCTGATAATATGGTTACTTTTTGTAGATTATTTGCTGATGACAATTCTTTGCAGCATTCTTCTCATAATATGAAAATTATTGAAAGAGACTTAAACAAAGATCTAAATGCTCTGGAACTTTGGTCTAAAAAATGGTTATTGAAATTTAATCCCTCTAAAACTAAAGCAATAATGTTTAGTACAAAGAAAAACATAGAATATCCTAAGCTTCTTTTTCAACAATGTCAATTGGACTTCATCTCTGAACACAAACACCTCGGAGTATTTTTTTCACACGACGCTAGTCACTGCATATTGAAAATCTACTGTCTAATGCCTACAAAAAATTATCTCTTTTGAAAATATTAAAATTTAAAGTAAATCGAAAAACTCTCTCACTCATGTATACGTCATTTATAAGACCGCAACTTGAATACGCTTCAGTGGTATGGGGATGCTGTCAATATAGTGATAACGATAAGTTAGAAAAACTGCAACTTTATGCTGCTAGAATTGTAACAGGGTTAACAACTATAGCTTCTAAAGATTCACTATACTTTGAAACGGGATGGGAACCTCTTAGTTGTAGAAGACAAGAAGCTAGAATAAAAACTATGTTCAAGCTTCATAATAATTTAGTGCCTGAATACTTAATGGACATACTTCCAGATATGCGCTGTAACACATATATATACTCTACAAGAAATTCTCAAAATTATGATATTCCAAAATGTCGATTACAAACTTATAAGTCTACATTTATTCCGACAGTAGTTAATGAATGGAACTCAATTCCACTCGAAATTCGAAATTTACAGTCAATGTCAAAATTCAAATCTAAAATTAGTACTAAAAAATCTGCTCCACCATTATACTTTGATTACGGTAACAGACGACTAAATGTTCTGCAAACCAGACTACGGCATAATTGCGTATTGAATAGCGACCTTTATAGATGCAATTTAATATCAAGTCCTTTATGCTCCTGTGGTAAAGTTGAGGATACATATCATTATTTTTTTTGTATGTCCAAAGTATGAGAAAGCCAGAAAAGAATTTTTAAATAAATTTTTACAATTTGACAAGATCCACATTCTAGATACTCATGTCTTATTATGGGGGGTAGATTCATTGAATGCTGCAGAAAATGTACGTCTCTTTTCTTTTGTTCAAACATTTATCAAACATTCTGGTAGATTTCCTTGTTAGCATTAATTAATGTATCAGTATATGCATTGGTACAAAATTAAGTGTATCTATATATCAGCAAAATGCATCGTTTTGTAAACTTTTGCAAATATTGTATACTTTAAAACTTCATGTTTAACTGTGACGATTTAAATGTGTAATTTACATGTAGGGAGAGGGCGTAATAAGTTTTCAGAACTTGTGCCCAATCCCATTGTATTTATTAATTACAATAAAATATGTTCAAACCAACCAAACCAATAAAAGAAATGCTCTCTAGTCTGTTTTTGAAACCCTTTTTCAAAGCATAAAATATAAATTAAAGAAAAGTGTGTGTATTCAATCAGTTTTTTAATTCAATTAAGAAAAAAAAAATTGACCAGGTTAATTTTGATTGGACAATTTGGCAGGCATCACAATGTATCGCATTGTATTGCAGCAGAGTTCAGTGTGGTGCAATTCTACTTGTATTTAAACAAGCACAATTATTTTACTTGTCAATGTATTAGAAATATTCCCCACCATCCACCCTCCAAAGACAGCTTTTATATACAATTTGTCCTTGTGATTGAATGTTTATTTGGAAATTTGCATAATGTAAGTTTTGTTTCAAAGTTCGATAACTCAAATCATGTCCCTTTGAACAACGTAGACAAAACGATCATTGATTTCTGCTTTATATTATGTAAATCTTTAAGCAATGCTAACGAGTAACAGGTTTGTATTCTATACACTAGACAAAATTGCTAACGCACCACCAAAAAAAAAAATTTTCTTTTCAAAACTTGTTTATGATGTTTTTGATAAACAATTATGTTACTTTAATAAAAAAAAAAAAAAACCCAGAGGCATTCAAATGTCTTAACTGATCAATAGCAACAATGTTTACTGAAGCGTAACCATTTCATAGAAAAAATTAAAATCATGTCCATACTTTTTTGGTGGAATAAATTTCTACTTTTTTCTTTTTGGTTGTGTTCTTGATGTTTGTACTAATTAATAACTCAGAAAAAAGTTACACCCTATGTGGCGTTTCACTCTAGAAGAGCGTGCTAATTCAGTCAGTATGGTGTCTGCAGAGGGTTCCTTTGGAGAAATTTGTGAAAAATTAAAACAATTAAAAGATTATGCATTTCTCTGATGAAAAATTGTTGAAAATTAATTAACAATCATAAAAATGTTTACAACCGATACCAACGGCATTAAGTAAGCACCACACAATAACTTTAAGATTGTTCCACAAATTTTTGGCAACTGGAAGTTGGGTGGATTTGGTAAGGACACCAAGGCACTGAATGACTACTAAGTGATATGGTAGTCAATCAGGGTATAGAATTTGATTTTTAAGTGGGAGACTGCTCCCGTCGCAACCTCACGTTTTTTTCTAATCAAAAAAATAACAAATAGATTTTTTTTTTAATTTCATTTTCATTGTGGATCCAATATTTTAATAGAGATTTTGAAAAAAAAAAATTCCATAAATATACATTTTTCAATCATTTCAGATCTATGGCAAAAATATATAAATTAAATATTTTTCCTTTGTACTGAATGACAGGAAAATACAAAATTACCCAAACATCTGAGTCAAAATGAAAAATGGAGGCATTGATATACACATGTATGGAAACACTTAGGAGTGCTTTTTGCTATGAAGTTTAAATTTACATTCTCATGATAAAAGTTACAATAAAGTTGTATCAGATGAAGCTATATTTAGCAAATTTACTCCCAAATGGACGGATTTAGTGAATATTTAACAAAGAAAAACTATACAAAAATATTGAAACTTACAATACTAAACAAAAAATTTCACAACAAGGAAAAAAAATACCTTCTTACACATTACAAATTGTAACCTCATAGTATAATGTATAAAATCTGATATTCTGGCTACAGCACTTTAAACCCAAATCAAAATATCACAAAAACTAACCATATTAAAACAATAAAGTAAACCTGATGAATCAGATTATAACAGCTACATTGTATTTAGCTCATACATTTTTTTAAAAACAATTTTATCAGTGCGTAGAGAATTTCATAGAATGGATAAAATCTGCAGAAAGAACCTAAAAATGACACCCATTTGTTTGTGTCCCTCTGTGAAATGTGAAAGTCTCATTAATCTCTTGGTCAGAAAATAAATCTCCTTGGAATTATATTTTGCATCATAATCTGATTTTGGATATACTGAATGAATCTGCATGGAACAGTCTCTTGCTTTATTAAAACATACGTCAAAAAAGAGAAAAAAGTCTTATTGGCACATATACATGAGCATTATACATGAAGTCTCATAATGCTAAATAAATGCTTTCAATCCTAATATCAAATTTTACCAATGACTTTAAAATCTAAAATCTATCTAAAGCTGCTAAAACTATCACTTTCGTTATCCTCGTCATCGCCTTCATTGCCATCATCGTTGCTTTCATCAGCATTTTTATGAGATACTTTAACATTTCTTTGATTCTGTATTTTACGGTGAATCTTATGACTACTTATCTCAGTATCTGAGTCACTAGTAATACGCCGATGCTTATCTCCATGACGATGACCTCTGTGACCCTTGGTATAAGATTCTAAGCTTTCCAAAGATACCTCAATACCTTCATCAACACTTTCTACTTTATGTTTCCTTGCTCTCTGAAAATTCAAAATACAATTTATTTAATGATTTCTTCTTGTCCATAGACATAAATTGATAACATGTTTCTAATAGATTTTCTTTGTTAAAAATAAAATGCCTTTGAAAGAATTTTCAAACCAGTAATTATTGATAAAATGGAAACACAAGTTACTTTACAGTTTACATTCAACTTTATTTCTAATGTTTTCTCTAAAATATCATGTTTAATTTATAAAGTAAGGCTGCATAATCAAATAAGTGAAATAATTAACCTGAAAAATAATATATTGTATGCACACTAATTTTTGTCACACAGTTTATGAACTATAAATAACAATGGCAGCCTATCCCTAAATCAAACAATCCCTAGGATAGCGGTAGTTGGTAAAAAATTCTTATTATAATCTCTGACACTCAAAGGCAATATTTCACACCAGTAAAAATTTGTATTTTGATGTCTTGTAGATCTAAAATTTCAAGATCTCTCATTTTTCTACTCACATCAAGAATTTTACCGGTATTTGAGGGAACGCATAAAATTGCCATTACTACCTTAGTTCCATAAAATGAAATACATGCAAGAATACAGAAAAATAAATCAAGCAAGTTTTACAAAAAGGAAGCAAATCTCATTAATATTTATTCAGAAAACAAAAAATCTGAGAAGTTATGATCATTCAGATAATTTTTGACATACTCTACAAAGTGCTCGCAAAAAGTCAACACAGCTGCACAATTTTGGACAAGCCTGTAATACACAAATAGACTATGGAGTCAGAGAACAGTACTGCTAGAGATAGCCAATCAAAAATTACATTTTTCCGGCAAAGTGACAACAAATTGCTCTAGTAAAAGAATGGGAGATATTTTGCAGATGCTCAACAACACATATGAAACAATGTAGCAATGATGGAATGGAACTTCATATTGAATTAAGATTTGTTCTTCATTGAAGACTTGTATTCAACAATCATGAAAAGAAGGAGAGCAATTTATGCTGCAACATACCTTTCTGTCACATAGAGTTTCCCAAAATTTCTTACAACTGTAATGGCAACAGCCGTCACCATGAATGTAGTCCTACAAATAATTTGCTTTAAAATTTCTTTAAAATCTGTGCTTTCATTTGGCAGGTAAATTTTCTTCTTTTTTGTTTTACAAAATCAATTATATAGGACAATTTCATTACTTTATCATTTTAACATACCTCATAGCAGGAAAAGTTCATAAGAAAGTCCTCAGAATTGAAAAAGCCCAAAACTCTCTGTATGAGGAAATACAATTTTAAATTCTACTTTAATTTCAAACATTTATAATGGGAACTTTTAGTTCATAAAATATTTAAATACTTAGATTTGACTTTAAGCATATTTTATCTGAGGAAATCAGATTTGGTAAATTAAGACTGACCCAGATTTTGTAATACGTTACATTGTAATATCTTTTGTACCTCACGACAGGAGTACACACCGTCCTCTGATCCACACCGAATCTCACAAAACTTGCAATAGTACAGCTACCAAAAGGATGAGGAGAATATATAAGCTGTAAACTTAATTTGAAATTTAAAAAAAAATCTTAATCTCAAAACATGGGAGATAAAGTATATAAGATACATCTTTGTCAAATATCTCAAATGTCGATCTTCTAATCTTTTGAAAAGCATAACTTAATGATTGTGCTTTCTAACAGTATTGGCTATGAGCAGGTTTCTCCCAACACTCTATCAAATATGTGATGAAAGTTTGATTTCCACAGTGAGATGAGAGAAATGCTTATTCACTGCTCAACAACCTTCTTTAATCCCAACAGAAATAGCTGAGAAAAACAAATAGTTCTTGTCTTCTTCAAAATAAAATACAGGAAACAATTGCTAAAATTACCATGACAATTGGATGGCTGACTTTTCACAAAGAATTTAAAAGTAGTAGACAAAGAACTCTCCCACACATTATTGAAAAACCACCACTCTATATATTCATACAGAAGAATCAACAGCTAGATATATGATAATACATGTACGCACTGTCCAGTACAAGAAGGAACCTTATTTGTACATGTATATTGAGCCATGGATTGAGTAAAAGTCCTTGGTATCAATCATAAATTGAATCTAATTTTCTAAAGTTAAACTAGATCCAAACAGTTCAGGAGACAACACTTCAAAGTCATGCTGAATGCCCACATTTTTCCTATAAAGTATAACTCAGTGGACAGGTGGCCAGGAGAAAAGAAAGTATGAAAACTAAGACTTAATCATGCAGCATTGCAAATTCCCACAACCATGCTTCTCAAGGAAAAGGAATAGTGAATACAAATTTTGATGAAAACTTTCTCCCATAGCTACATGTAAGAGCAAAGAATGCATGCACATTGCTTGAAATGTTCTAAGGAAAAGGGAGGAAAGTATTTTTAATCCCTCTCAATGCTTACAAGGTACCCAAGATTAATGGAATAAAATAACACACTAGGTAAGAAATTATCAAACATTTGTTGCTATGAAGACAGATCTATATATGTACCTGACATATTCATGCAGGATACATGGACATTCCTCATGCAAAGTCCAAACCAGAATAAGATTGCATTTACCCAATATTTGGTTTCAGTTTTTCTGTATCACTGGATTTGATTGGTTTGTTTCTCTGAGTCACCTTCTTTGGAGTTTTTTGATTGGGTTGAATGGTGCTTGATTCAACAGAAGATGACTGATTTGGTGGTAACTGAACACCAGGTCTAGGGTTTTCTCCCAATACAAGCTTCCTTGGCATTTTCGTTGACTCATTAATTTGGTTTATTTTTTTCTTTCTTGGTTTCTTCTTAGGTCTGGTTTCTTTTTCTGATTTTTCTTCAAGATGCTGTGTTTTGTCATCTGTTACAGTAAGGGGCTTTTTCTGGTTGATTTTTCTCCCTTTTACCTCAACATTACTGAACTTTTCTCCACTTTCTAAATCTTTTGGTTCCAGTGAAACCCTGATTTTTTCTCTCTTATTTTGCAATTGCTTTGATTCAGAATTCTCAATCCCCTGACTCTGTAAACTCCCTCCACATTCCATGAAAGAATCCTCAAATGCCCTGTTAACCTGCACCTGAGTTCTCACAACATGAGATGAAGATGGAATAAAAAGTTTTTCTTGACCTACACTGGGGGCTGGGGTAAGTGATGCATTTCTGTGGGTATTAAGCTGAGGAGTATTAGGTAGTGGTTTGGGGGTAAGCTGTTGGGTAAAGGAACCCATACTTGGTTGACGTATCTTTATTTCAATACAACAACAGCTGACAGCCTCACACTGTGGACAGGAGAAATCACAGTGGCATGAATTGCATGAACCTATGGAACTCTGGAAAAAATTACAGTGGATAGGTATTACATGTAGACCTAGGGTATTTCCTAATTTCTAACTGCACTTCTGAAAGTTCACTATTGGATAATACATGGTTTAATACCATAGTCTGCTGCAAAATTCTCTGGAACTGAATATCATTCATCTGTTATATTTTATTAATGTGTATCTGAAAATTAACAGTGATAAACATTTTTGTATGTCTTTGTCACACTCATTTACAGAAACAATATATTGCATGGAAAGATCTACAGCAGTTCTACTGTTAAGAGTATTCTTTTTGATTTTTTAAGACATCTGATAAATATTTAACAGACTTTGTTTTTTTTTTTTAAAAAAACATCAAGCAAATTTAAAGAATTGTGATCCCCGCTTTTAATATCTTATCTGTTGGGATACAATTATCAATGCCGAATGGCATATTGTAATTATCTTGTTTGTCTGTTCACCACACAAAATAGATATAATTTTGTATTTAATAAAAGTTATGGCAAAGATTAAAGCTTCTCAAAACTGCATCAAACTTAAAAGTCATGAGGTCAATTATCATAATATAATTCAAAAGCTCTTGTCACAATTAAGTAATGCACATGTGGAAAAAATATGAAAGCCCTGTCTCTTTTGGGGCAAAAGTCATGGCCAAAGTTAAATTTTTTTTATAATTCAAACTTCTAGGTCAAGGTCATGAAGTGAAAATTGATATCTCTTTCTGAAAGGTGTTGTCATAGATAATGTACATGTAAAATATGAAAGCCCGGTCTTCTCTCATTCAAAAGTTATGTAAATTTTTTTTGAAAAAGACTTTAGGTTTAACTTTATGGATACAGTCAGGAGGTCAAAAACCAGAGTAAATTCAGAAAGGTATTGAAACAGGTAATGCACATGTCAAACATAAAAGATAATCCTCTCTCATTCCAAAGTTATCACCAATGTTAATTTTTTTTTTGAAAATTAGGTAAACTTCAAGGTCATGGGGTAAAAAATCATACCATGTGCAAAAACGTCTTGTCACAGATTATGCACATGTCAAATATGAAAGCCCTATCTTCTCTTATTCAAAAGTTATTACCAATGTTAAATTATTTAAAAAGTAGGTCAAGCTTTCAAGGTCATGGGGTCATAAATGGTAGCAGGTTCAGAAACGTCTTGCCACAAGTAACGTACATGTCTAATATGAAAACCCTATCTTCTCTCATTCAAAAGTTATAATCAACATTGAAATTTTTAAAAATTACGTCAAATTTGAAGGTCAACGTCATGGGTCAAAAACTGTAGTATATTTTGAAAAGTTTTGTCACAGTTAATGTACATGTGAAATACGAAAGCTCTATCTCTTCTTGTTTAAAAGTTATGACCAATTTTAAAATAATGTTAAAATTTCTGAATAGTTGGTCAAACTTTACGGTCAAGGGTCAAAAATCATAGTATATTTTGGGAAAGGTCTTGTCACAACTTATATACATGTGAAATATGAATACCCTACCTTTTCTCATTCAAAAGTTATAACCAAGGGACTGTCAGTTGATTGAGATTTAATGTCCCTTTGTTTTCATGAAAGCAGGGGGACAAAAACAGAGAAATGAAAAGGAATGTAACTATGTACATGTAGATATCATTTTGACTGGTACAGAGTTTTGCTATTTTTTTTATCATTAACCTTCTTGGGACCTAGCTAGCCATGCTATTAAAATAAGATTAGTATCTCCACAACAAATAATTATGATTACAACATTCATGCAGCTACTTGTCTAATCTAGCAAAGTGAGCTAAAAGACATTATATAGTGCATAATTTGGCAAGAAAGTACAGCATAGAGTTATATTTGGTTGATTTATCCTCTTTTCATGTTTTTACATCAAACTGAATATGGAAAGAAAATAATTCCCATTCCACTTCATTTTTTGCTTTTAACCCTTACATTTTCCCCAAGATATTAGATATATAAAATTAAATTTAAGGTTTGTTCTGCAAATATCTTGCCCCCCATTTTATGTCTTCTCTTTTTTAAGCTCTCATCCTTATAAAAGAAAATGACAACTTTGCTAAGAATGAAAATTATTTTGTCATTTTAAAGATATACCAACTTGTATGTTTACATGATTATGAATGAATTTTCATATGTTATAAATTTTGCATGGAAAAATATTTTAAAAAATTCAGATTCCTGGACTTTTATTTTAATTACTGACCCTTTAAACAAGTTATGTGAAGAAGTTGACTAGTTTAGAGGATACATATCAAGTGTTTAGGTGAGTAGGAGTGAAAAAAAAATCATAAAAGCAGATACAAGTGAAAGGTTAGTTCTACACATCATACTTACTTTTACACATAAACAACTAGGAGGTCAAAGGTCACGTTGGATTGTTTTGTGATTGGAGGGTACCACACTGATTGCACCACTGGTACAGCAAAAAACAAATTGTTTCATTTTTGTTGAGTTTTTTTTCCCCACAAATGAGCAACAGACAACCAGTTTGCATAAAAACAACAAATATCTTAAGACTGCATGTGCATCATTTTCAAAAGTTCAGCTAAGTATATCCTAAACATGCTTAAACCTAATAACTGAGCTCACTGCAATGAATTGGTTAGTTTTACTTTTTTAATAAGTTCAGAATTCATCAGCATGCATCTTGATATGTAATTTTTTTTTAGCATACAATATGAACCCCTTTATTCCATTTTCTTATCTCTTCAAACTCTCATGCAAAGTATATAACTACACTCTCTTGTTCGTTAAAATTATAATAATTAGAATCATCATTTATCATTGCTCATGTATTTACAGTCAAAATATTTACTTGATACTTACATTTGTAAAGCAATTATTTTCTCCTAAACAGCACTGACAGAGCAAAATATCCAGGCAAGTAAGCTTTGGGAAAAAAAAAGGATTCAAGTAATCTCATACAACACGAAAATGTATTGAATAATTTAAATTGTCATGTTAAAGCAGTAAACTATTTCTCTTAAAAATTACTCTCCAATTGCATTCGCTTACCTTTTTATTTGGACAACAATTATTAAGACAGCTATTCACAGAAGGAGCACTACATCCACACGACTCCGAACAGCTGATACAACAATCAGAACACTGCGGGGCGCCCTCTTTTCCACACATTCCACACTCCACATCTTGGCACTTTCCTTGTCTCTTTAAATGAATAATAATAATTAAAAAAAAACATTGCCATGTCAGTATTATTACTTCTGTGAGAAAATAAGCAATCATTGTTCTTCCACTTATCAAATTTAATACTCACCACACACATGTATCGGATGAACACAATGATAAAGATTAAGGCTGTGTACCCAAAAACTGCAAGGCAGATAACTCCTGCCAATGGCAGCTCAGAAGAGGAGGAGTTGCCCATACTTTAGACTACCTATAAATATATGAATGAAAGTGAAATAATACTGTCAATATGATAGATACAACAACAGTAGCTCTTTTTAATGCTAAATGAGTAAAAAGGTGAGGTTATAGCAATGCATACTGTCTTAAATAATTGAGGAATAGCAAAACATAGCTATAGAGCTAGCTGGTGTAATGCTTTGTCTTTCAAAAACAGACAAAACCTGATTGTATTCAATGAAAGAAAAGCTTTATTATGTCTAATTTTAGTACAATGGTGCATAAGCTCAAACAAATAAGTTTATAGTAACAACCTTTTTATACCTAAAGATTGCCTATCTAGACTACACACAGGAAAATTACCCAAAATCACGGAAGCTCAAAACTAGGGACCTATATACTATAGTATATAGGTCCCTGTTAAAACAAGCATACAAAAAATAAAGCGGGAATAATATCATCACATATTGCATGTATCAACACATAAAACGTCATTGAGGAGACTTTCTTTCTTTCGAATAAGTTTTAAGTGCAAGCAAAGAGCAAGTATGACAAAATGAAACTTTTTAATTCATGTCTGGTATTAGAGATTTACATACAACATTAGTATGTCGTATATTATAGCTCTAATGGTATCTCCATGTACTTTTCTGCACTGCTAAATGCCATCATATGAATGACCAATATATATAACTCCATTGAATTGAGTGAAAATAATAATTACATTCTCATATAGCATGATGCGCTATAAAATTTCTGAAATCATGACAGTTCTCGCCAACAATCATCAAAAAATGTCAAACGACAGCAAGACAGATCCTGTACACTCCAATCACGTGATATCAACACTACCAACATTTGGATTGTTGATGTCGTAAATGCAAAATCCAAGTTAAGGTAGCGTTTTAATCATGACATGTTCAAAATTACAACAATGAGTAAAGTCGCACTAGGTAGTTCATGTGTGATAAAATAAATATCTCATTATTTAGACTTGTGAATTATTTCGATCACTTAATTTTTCTAAATTTCGCATTTTAATTGGAATTTCAAGCTTTTGTGTAACACAGATGATCACTAGACGGCGCTGTTAAAGCTTCCTTAGCATTCCTTCATCCTCAGGAGTGAGATCAACATGTTTAAAGTGAAAATTCTCGTTGTAGGACCTTGTATGGTAATTATGTATAGCCATATCAAAGAAAAATTACATCGCTCTATTTTTTCTTTTATCAACATGACTGGCAAGATTTTTTTTTTTTACTCTTAATAGATCTAGATATTTTTGTACTATATATGAAACATAACACTTAACAACAATTAAGTTGTAATTAGAGTCAGAATTTACAAGAAACATTTTATGATATTTTATATACATATACAATGTGATATGACATGTATAATTATACAAAGATTGCTGAAATCATGTACATCACCAGGTCTAGCTGCAATAATGTAGCCCTCTCCCGATTTTTTTTTTTTTTTTTTTTTTTTTGGGAGAGGGCTACAACTCCTTAGGATCTCCGTAATGGTGCAAGTGCGGGAGTGATTCACTACCGCACAGATTTCGGCTCAAATTATCAGTAAGTGGGTATTTTATTAACACATCTTACCTGAACTCATAAAATGTAGTTATGCAAGACATGAATTGATCCAAAAATATACAGAACAAGCCGTATATCGGTTATTTTTCGTGTATGTCAACATCACAACTTGAATTTATCCGCCATGTTTACTGACCTTGATCGATTTTATTTTGGGACATCCAACGAGAAATTGTGATCTAGGGGAGCGGATCGTTTAGGATTTCCCTTATTTTAAGCATAAATATCACTGTTTATGAAAAAAAATCACATGGAATGCTTTTATTTATCGATGTTTAGTGATATCATACCACACAAACATTTATCAACACCGACATTTACTTTATCAAGTGATTCTAAAATTCAAGCGCAAGTCTCTGTACATCACGCGAGAACTGTCATGGCTGCTGAAGAGAATGACTGGTAAACACGCAGATTTATTTTACTTGGTTTTCGCTCATAAAGGGCTATGATGTTGATAGTGAATAAAAATTCCGTCTTATTGGAAGTAAGTTGAATGCAAAAACAATTTATTTTGCCTGCAGTCGCCCGTATCTAAAAAATATATTTGCACCATTACGGAGATGCAGTGGAATTGTAGCCCTCTCCAGAAAATATCAGATTAAAAAAAATCGGAGAGGGCTACATTATTGCAGCTACACCAGGTCCAGCACAATCTCTTGATTAAGCTATATAGCTTGATTTAGCTATATAGCTTTATTAAGCTATTCAGAATAGCTTGATTTAGCTATTTTATCACACTGTTTTCTCAAATGTGTTATTTTCCAAGTATGCACAAAAAGTCGCACCTTGGTGCAGTGATGATATTCAACCTTGAACTCTTATGAAAATAATGCATGTAAAAACCACTCATCAAATTGCGTCTCCTTAAGAGACTTTGTACTCAAAGTTCTGAAAGTTTTGGGGCTATATAAAGCAATTGATACAGTTACTTCTTCAATGAAATTATAAAGGAGGCCAATTATGGTCAACAAGATAATTGACTGGTAATAATTCAGTACAATATGAGAAGCAGTCATACTTATCCATGCCTCAACACACACAAGGTAGTGTACAGTTACCCGAACAATGGGAATTCATCTTTTGCTTAAGGTAGTCTGATCCTCAGGTTCTGAAAATCAGCTTTTAAGTAATTGAAAATGTGCACAAAAATGTCTCTGATTTCACATAGTAACATGAATTTACCCATGGAATTTCTTCAAAGTTCATCATTATAGTTAATCATTTTATATAGGGAAATTTTAATTATCAAATCTCAAGTATTTTTTGAGGAAATGCGAATAAAAACACCAGCTATGCATTTTCTAATTGAAAATTGATCAACAAATATAATTTAGGATAGAAAAATATAGGTATCCAGGCATTTGAAAAAAATTGCATCTTTTTTATGCTTGTACAGTATTTTAGTTCTTTTTACTTCAATTGTCATATAATACATAGTGTAAAAAAGCTTGTGCTATCATTGCTAGACATCACATATCACATCTTATTTCATATCATGCTAGTAAGCAGTGGTATCTAATGCTAGACTAAAGGAAATTCAATTTCTCTAAAAATTTTTCTCTTTTATGGGGTTCAAATGTAAACTTTTTACAAGACCGTTTATGACTTCAAAGAACCTTGAATCATATTAAGATGCATAAAATGAAAATTGTTGCATGAAAAGGTCTCAATTTCAAGCTTCATTTTGAGACTTTTTAAATGAAATGATAAATTTAAGAGTTATCCTTCCTGGCTGAGGATCGGATATCCTTAAAAGTATTCAAATGCTGCAATGTTAGAACTATCTTTGATTTGGGTTGTTGATTTGATAACCCATATTACATATATGAATAGTCAAATACTTGCGACTTTTTGTCTATTTTGTACAAATAACATTTTTGCAAAAACCTGCATATAAATAGCTTTATCAAGCTATTTTGAATAGCTTAATAAAGCTATATAGCTATTTCAAGCTATACAGCTTAATCAAGAGATTGTGCCGGACCTGATCACAGTACAGTCATGTGTATATTATGACTACAATTCATGCAACGTACCAGTTACAACCAATTCAATTCATTTAGCCAGACTCCAATCACCGTTTCTACTTATTAATATAAAGGAATGAGGTAGTCAGGGCAAAATATTGGTCATAGCTTTCAACCATGTACCATTTACTCCTCTTTTTTTATCTGGTAATAATTTAATTCTGGTTGTAACACACTTTTTGATTGGCTGAAAAATTAGTTTATACTGCATAACCTGGGTTGCCTATGTCACAATAACTTGCATCAAAAATATATCAATCCACTTGACGTTACATTTAAATTTTGTACAATTTAATGTCAAATTTGAGGTGAAATTGTCTTTTTTTCCTACACTTAATGATAGAAAAATAAATTATAAGGAATGAATTTAATTGCTACCTAAGTTATATGGTATAACCTGGGTTGGAACAGTTTACACATTTTTATAAACAGCGAAGTGGTTTGTAAACCCAGATTATATTGTATATCTTGGATAGATATTAAATTTTATTCCTTAAATATTTGTGTGGAATGAGACTCAGGGTATGGCAGTTAGTGTATCAACATACATCCCGATCAAAATTAAAATTTTAAGTCATCACACATTTCTATCAAGACTCAACATGGTCAATGCACATCTCTGTCAACAATCAACACACATCTAATAAAAAAATTATTGCCTTAGTAGGCATATACCTTTGACAGTTTCTGCTTCATGTAATAGATACAAACGCATTAAAACAATTTTTTGACATATATTTTGTAGGCAGGAAAGACTGCATTGTCCAATTTCCTAGCAGATGCTACAGAAGGAAGCAGTGGGGAGTACCATCCTACACAAGGAGTAAGGTAAATTAAAACTCATTAACATTATCTTTATTACCAGTGGAGTATGAAGCTTTCAAAGACTTTTAAGTGTGTACATTTTTCTTCTTCTTCCATTCTACATCTTTAATATATGATATTTTTATACCCCACGCAACAAGTTGCGTGAGGTATAATGTTTTTGACCCGTCCGTCAGTCAGTCAGTCAGTGTGTCAGTCAGTCAGTCCGTCAGTCCTGTTTTTTTGTCAGCGCAACTCCTCATAAACCGCTGCACAGAATTTCGTCAAACTTTGCAGATATTTAGGACACAAGGTGTAGATGTGCATATTACCAGGAAATTCCGATTCATTTATTTTTTCTCGGAATTTCGGCACTTTTCAACTTAGATTTTTGGCCATATCTTGAATATGGAGATGAACAGTTTGTCAGCGCAACTCCTCATAAACCAATGTACAGAATTTGGTCAGACTTTGCAGATATTTAGCACACAATGTATAGATGTGCATATTACCAGGAAATTCCGATTCCTTTATATTTTCTTGGAATTTCGGCACTTTTCAACTTAGATTTTTGGCCATATCTTCAATATAAAGATGAACAGTTTGTCAGCACAACTCCTCTTAAACCGGTGCACAGAATTTGGTCAAACTTTGCAGATATTTAGGACACAATGTGTAGATGTGCGTATTACCAGGAAATTCCGATTCCATTATTTTTCTGGGAATTTCAGCACTTTTCAACTTAGATTTTTGGCCATATCTTGAATATAGAGATGAACAGTTTGTCAGCGCAACTCCTCTTAAACCGGTGCACAGAATTTGGTCAAACTTTGCAGATATTTAGGACACAATGTGTAGATGTGCGTATTACCAGGAAATTCCGATTCCATTATTTTTCTGGGAATTTCAGCACTTTTCAACTTAGATTTTTGGCCATATCTTGAATATAGAGATGAACAGTTTGTCAGCGCAACTCCTCTTAAACCACTGCACAGAATTTGGTCAAACTTTGCAGATATTTAGTACACAGTGTGTAGATGTGCATATTACCAGGAAATTCCGATTCCATTATTTTTGCCTTAAGAGTTTTGCCTTTTATTGAAGAAACTTTCCAGCTAGGTAATAAGAAACTCCACTGGAATCAGCTTTTTATAATGAAATTCTATGTGAAATATTTTATGACCTTAAAAGACCCCTATTGATTTTGAGATCAAAATATTAATGGTTTAACACAAACACACACTCACACACACACCATCTTCGATAGTTCTCTCTCCCCCCCCCCCCCCCCCCCTTCAAATTGGTGTGCTTTGCCTTAAATAATTTCATAAGTACAGTATATAAACAGATTCATATGACTACATCATAATTTTGTTTCCATCAATTATTTAAATGTGTAAACTGTCATGTGTTGGACATGGACTTACACTCATTAACAAATCGAAATCACTGAGGAATTTAAATAACAGTTTGTCAGCATAATTCCGGCACTGAATTTCCTGAAACTTTGTAGGTATTTCAGAATAATGTATAGATTTGTATATTACCAAGAAATTTTGATTCCATTATTTATCTAGAAACTTCAGCCCAGTTAAATTTGTAACATACAAAGATTTGAATGTCCTTATATGCAAGAAGTTTTGATGTGATGATTTTTTGCAAGTAATGCCCCTTTTTTGAATTATACTGTGTATTTAAAATGCACTGTGCCATTCATTACGTGTTGCATTGTCGAGTTTTGGGGAAGCGTGGGGTATGTGAGCTTGCTCACTTTTTCTTTCATTTAAAATATTTGATCCTGTTGGAACAAACCTAAATGTTAATATTATTATGACCTATCAAAATTTTTTTGTTTTAAAAAAAAACTACATGTATTTTGAATTGGGAAGGATATTATATCAATAATCAGTTAATTTATAACAACAATTAAACATTTAACAAAATTTGTAATAAGAACATTAAATGGTACTAATGTTGATTTTGATACATCAGTCTATGCGAAAGACATCGGACTGTCGGACCTGACTGCTGTGCAGTGCCTCTGGTCCGATGCATCATTTTTTGCACCGGACCAGAATGTCCGATGTCTCAGCGTCCAGTTTTGAGCTTTACTATTTTGACATGGAGTCATTCAAATGTTTGTTAAAAGTAAAAAAAAATAGCACAAATCCAAATACGTAAATGAATTGATTAAAACTGCATGGACCATCTACAGTAATAAGATTTCCTATATTGACCAAACTTGCATGGATGGTACATCTAAGGATGCACACTACTGGACTTGCTTCGGATGCTGGATTTGATCTATATTTTCCGGATGAGTGACCAGGTTAAGGTTTTTGGAGCAAATCTCATTTCCAAGTAACTATAAGCCCTATATTGACCAAGCTTGCATGGATGATACATCTAAGGATGCACACTACTGGACTTGCTTCGGATGCTGAATCTGACCTATATTTTCCGGATGAGTAACCAGGTTAAAGTTTTTGGAGCAGATGTCATTTCCAAGTATCTATAAACCCTATATTGACCAAACTTGCATGGATAATACATCTAAGGATGCACACTGCTGGACTTGCTTTGGATGCTGGATCTGACCTAAATTTTTTTGATGAGTGACCAGGTTAAAGTTTTTGGAGCAGATCTCATTTCCAAGTAACTATAAGGCCTATCTGAACCAAACTTGCATGGATGATGCATCAAGGGATGAACAATCTCAAACTTGCTTCAGATGCTGGATTTGACTTACATTTTCTGGATGAGTGACTAGTTTTAAGTTTTCAGATAAGTCTATTCCCAAGTAACTGCAAGCCCTATCAGACCAAAATTGCATAAATGTTGCATCTAGGGATGCACACTCCTAGATTTAAAGACAACATTCATTGAGGTGAGCTCTGTTATCTCTGATTACCTTTGTTTTTTTAAATGCCACCAGTTTTTCCTTAAAGTGGGGATTTTAATTGGGTCCATTTGTCCATGCACTTATCAATCCTTCATTCTGTTCATCTAAAAACGCTTCAGTTTCAGGATGATATCTCTTTACTGAAGCTTTAATGAAGACCCCTATTGATTTTGAGGTCAAAATGTGAAATGCCAAGGAAATCCATATTGCATAATTGGTTTCTAGATGATAACTTTAGTTCCCTTTGACCTTTTGCAATGAAACTGAGGTGATGACTCTATCTTACTTAAGAAAGACTCCAATTGATTTTGAAGTCAAAAGATAAAATTCAAGATCACAAATTCATAAGTTGGGGACATGAACTCCCTGAATTAGTTGTTTACTAGAAGTATAATAATTATTCAGTGATATTAGTACAATTTAAAAGTTAAGGTTTTATGAATTTTAGTGACTGGTATGTGGATTCACCAACAAAGTTTACATGTTATGATGAAATACCTTTATTAAATTAATGTAGTTGTTTTTGTTGATCAAAGAAATAATCAATTGCTAGCTGACTGATTACTCATAGAGTGTCATCACCTTAACTTTGACACATTCTCTGCAAAATAAGTTGAACTTTGGTGTCTTCAACACTGGTATCTCGAATACCATGGATATGTCAAAGTGAATTGGAAGTCCCAACCACTTATTCATTAAGTATTTAACCATTCATATCTTGAATACTAAGGTATCTCAAATTTTTTTCTCGGTCCCATGGAGTTTGAGATAACAAGGTTTGGCTGTACATGTATACACTTCCTGCATTAATATTGGCTTAAAGCTTTTGTCTATAATTTATGAAAATTTGAAAAAAAAAGTTACACCTTTACATACTGATAGAAGGCTTTAGAAGCATATGATACTAGAATAATAATTATACATTGTAGAATTCTTGAATTTGAATCACAGACCAACAGCAGACAAGGAGTGGATGTGGAAATGTGGGATGTGAGTGGGGACCCAAAGTAAGTGAGGAAAACAGATCATCTTACTTAAAGGTCAAAATTAAATAAAATTGTCTAGAGATATCCATATTTCAGTAATAAATAACAAATGATTTATATTTTACAAATTTCTACTTTAAAATAATTTATATTAATACAGTGAAACTTGTCTAATCTGGATGTTGTATAATCCAGAATCTTGCCCAATACGACGTAAACTTTAAGTCCTTTTCAGTAAATTCATTTGTTTAAAATGTTGTCTAATCCGGAATGTTGTCTAGTCCGGAATGTTGTCAAATCCGGCCAATTTCTTCAGAACAAGTGGTGTCCAGATTAGATAAGTTTTACTGTACTTTTAACTGTTTTCCATTTGGATCTATTGGTGTTGTTGTTTAAGAAAATCTATGTTTGGAATCTTAAATTTTTATGGATGAAATTTTTAACATTATATGTTAAATTATCTTCTTTTTATGTAGATTTGAGTCTTGTTGGTCAGCTATTGCCAAAGATACCAATGGAGTAATATTTGTATATAACCCTGACCAGCCCAATCATGATAAAGACTTAGAAAACTGGTACATTTTCAAGCCAAATACCAATTGCAAAATGTGATCTATTTGTGCAAGACAAATATTAGAAGCCAATTGAGAATGAAAATATTTTTGAATTTCAGGTATAACTATTTTGTTGAAAACCAAAATATTAAAGAAAGTGCCTGCATAATATTTGCACATCACAAACCAGGGGCAAATGAAAGGGAGAGATCTGTACTTTGTAAGTATAGCCATCATTACCGGGGTATTTCTAGTTCAGCTTATCTGTGTAGTTGCAACGATCCAGGATTGCTGTAGTTTCAAACATTCAACTGTCAAGACAGCCCATAGCAAAAAGAAATGGCATTTTTCCATTTTATCTCCATTCATTCAGCATTTTCTAGCCATTTTTCATTTTAAAAACATTTTTTCTACATTTCCCTATCTTTCAATTTTCCAAAACCATTTTTTCAGAACCATTTCAAAACCATTTTTGTTAGAAAATGCTTTTTAAATGGTAAACCTTCACCATTTTTTCTCCATTTACTTGAGTAAATGGAAAAGAAATGCCAGTTTGGTGATCTAACTTGCTTGAGCTTGCCATTTTTCTTCCATTTATTTTCTGAGAAATGGAAAAATGAAGAAATGGTTAGTTTTAGGCATATTCTTAACTTTAAGATTTGTCAGCAGCTACTGTTAATTGATGCCAGGTGCCAAGTTTGTATAATGGGCCAGAGGCTATCAGATTTCCTCCCCAGCTCTGTGGTGACCGCCTTTTTCAGTTATTTTAAACATTGGACAAGAGCACTTCGACCTAGCTGGTAGTGATGGAGCTTAGATGGCTGAATTATTCTTCAAGGAAGATTGGGGTTTTTAGTATTTTTGATGCTGAAAAAACTGTACATTGATGATCAAAGCAGAATTATAAGATTACTAACTTTTTGAAGGATGATTATCTGACAGTTTTAATGTTTCTAATATTCGGGGAGTGGTGCAGAAGAAAAACAACACATTCACCATCACTGAAAGGGTATTCTTTTTGAGAAGTAAGTATAAATATTCACATATTTTTATTAATGTCAACAACACAAAAATGCTTTTTCTAAAGAAAACATGTACATTAGGAGTGTCCATTGATCATATTGATTCAATAATTAATTTATTAACAAATCTAGTTAAAACTTAGACTGATCGAGGGACACTATTGTAAATTCTTATAAACTTCAATTATTAACTATTTTCTTGCTCACTTTTCTCAGGTAAATGGTTAAATTTCTTCTGCAATCTGTTCAACCTATTAAATCATTTGTTTCTGATGAAATAGTGAATATACAGGCAGGGCAGTACTTGTACATGTATACTTATATTGTTCATGAATACAGACCTCGTAAAAGTTATTAGATTTATGCTACAGGAGTAATCATCAGCTGCAGTAGTGAAAAAAATGTGACAAAGCAGTTTTCTGTTCTTTTCTCATTGTGCATTTTCTTTAATTTTAGAATACGTACTGCTTGCATGCATATGGAACACCAAAATGAACATTGAAACTGTGAATTCTCAAAGATGCAGACTACCATTATTCAAATCGAATTAGGAGATTAATCCATCAAAATTTCTAGGAATGCAAAACAAAGTTTGTGAAAAAATAAAACATTTGACCTTTGTTTCATGACTGACTCTTAGTAACTACCAAGAAGATGGATTTTCAAAGTGCTTATTCTGTGGATATCGAGAACCCAGCTTTTTTCATTTTTCAATTATTGTAAAAATGTTTTTAAAATGGATATTAAATGGTTAAAACAAAAACCATTATTTTTCATTTTTCTTCTCATTTGCATAAATGGTTTTGGAATGGTTAATTTGCATGTTATAAGGCCCCAAAAATGGACTTTGAATGGATGTTAAATGAGGTTTGAATGGAAATAAAATGAAAAATGGTTTTTAAATGATAATCCTTTCTGTTGAGAATTCTTGAAACTGTTGATGATATAAAATGGCTCCCGAATGGTTTTAAAATGGTCAGAAAAGAAATGTCTTTTAAATGGTAATGAAATGGATTTCATTTTGATAAGGGAGAGTCAAATCCCACCAAAATGTTTGTTACAAAGGGAACATAAAATGCCCTTGTTGGAATTATTTTATGTATCAATGATATTTCATTGGCAGATTCCAGACTTATATATTAACATTAATATTTTGCCTTGAATCTTTTTTCCAGACTTATATATTAACATTAATATTTTGCCTTGAATCGGTTAAGAATGAATGTGCAGCTTTAATTTTAGTTTAAGTACAAAGATTGAGGCACAGCAGAAGAGACACGGTGTCTTACCTGAGACTCAAAACAGAAAAAAGAAATTAAAATTTGTTTTCAAGAAAAATTACTGCAATTTTGAATTCATGCAATATCCAAAATTCCTCCTATAAAGGAGTTTCATGTTTGAAGAATCGAAGTCCCTAGCTTCAGGGTAGGGGACAATATGTGCCTCAACATCTACACAAATAAATGTGCAAAAAGCCTATCTTAAATCAACAAGCTAAATTTTTTCAGGGAAATAAAATTATAAATTTTATTTTAATTGTTGGGTTGGGAAGTTAAATGTCTAAATCTAAACTACTCTATGTGCCTTTCCCCTATATTTTATTTTAAGTAATATCACCTGGAGATAATGATGAAACACATTGACCTTGACCTTTGAATTCAGAAAAAAATAGAAAATTTGAAATGATAGTATTTATTGTGTATACACTATTTCCAGTAAAAACAGTTTAAAGTTTTTATCAACATACACTGAGGTGTAGTTTTATCAATTTTGCATACTGACTTAGTATCATCATTGAAGAAAGAATAGGGTTTTCTAAAATCTCTCTATTTTTCATGGTAGCTGACACATTTAAGAAGATTCATGTGATACAAACAAACATTGACGATGATGGAGATACACTGAGAAATGAATTCATGAACTATTTAACTCAGTTACTGGCAGCCATGACAGACAAGCGGGAGCAGGAGGAATTGAGCATCATGAATAATCGATGACAACATGAGAAGATTACAGAGACCTTTTAGACAATTGATATTTTCTGTTCATGTCCATACTATTTAATTTAGAGAATATTAAAAAAAAATAATTAAAGTTCAGGTTTTACTACTGATAATTGTTGTGATCACCTTTTTATGAAAGGCTAGCTGTGTTAAATCTGGTTGTATATACTTATAATTAAACTGTTACTGGTATATATTTGCATCAATTTTAAAAAAAAATGTATATCACTGGATAAATTATGAAAGGAAAATATGAAGAATTATTAGATGTTACTTGTATCTGGGGTATAAGGCATATTTTCTGTGGAATTATGCATACCAGTATTTCTTTATTAAGATCATTTTCACCAAATTTTGTACTACCATGTTTAAGTACATTTGTAGGTAGAATGGTGACATGATATGCAAAAGTAGATTATTAAGGAAGTGTTATTTTACTGGAAATTAAAAAAATGATACACATGATCATTCGCTTCTTTTTAAAAATAAGATTGACACTTTATACAGTATATATTTAAGGAATCTATTTTTTGTGCATATGAGCTGATAACATATGTGGGAGCACATGATAATTAAGTGGTGAAGCCTCATATACAAGACTTATCCTGTGCTTCCAAGTGTGGGTTAAGTTAGGAATACCTGTGTACAGAAAATGAATTAAATTCTTGAAAAAAAATTTTCCTGTACACTAAGCAGACCAACTGTGCATGATTAATGAGTCTTCTACCATATAGGAAATGTCATACATGTAAATGGTTCAGGCCCCATGATGGGGCTAAGCTAAGAAGTTGAGTATTTCAATAAGGAACCCTCTATACACTCATTTTTAGCTCACTGCTAAGAAGTTGGGGGAGCTTATGTAATACCCTCAGCGTCGGCGTCCCAGGTTAAAGTTTTGGAGCAGATTTCTTTTCAAGTACTTCTATGCACTATATTAATCAGAGATGCATAGAGGATGCTTCTAGTATGTTTCTTTGTACCAGTCAAGGTTTCAGATGCTGCAACTTCAGCTGAAGAATGACCAGGTTTATGTGTTTGGAGCAGCTTAAAGTTCTTGGAGCAGGTTAAAGTTTTTTGAGCAGGTCTCATTTCCAAGTAACGATAAGCCCTATATTGACTAAACTTGCATGGATGATACATCTAAAGATGCACACCACTGGACTTGCTTCGGATGCTGGATCTGACCTACATTTTTCGGATGAGTGACCAGGTTAAAGTTTTTGGAGCAGGTCTCATTTCCAAGTAACCATAAGGCTTAGCCCTATGTTGACCAAACTTGCATGGATGATATATCTAAAGTTGCACATTACTGGATTTGCTTAGGATGCTGGATCTGACTACATTTACTGGATGTGTGGCCAGATTAAAATTTTTGGAGCAGGTCTATTTTCAAGTAACTAGAAGCCCTATGTTGACCAATCTTGCATTGATGATACATCTAAGGATGTACACTACTGAACAATTCGGTTGTTGGATCTGACCTACATCTTTTGGATGAGTGACCAGGTTAAAGTTTTTGGAGCAGGTCTCATTTCCAAGTAACTTTAAGCCCTATGTTGACCAAATTTGCATGGATGATACATCTAAAGATGCACACTACCAGGCTTGCTTTGGATGCTGTACCTCACCTACATTTTCCACATGAGTGACCAGGTTAAAGTAAACTATAAGGGCTATCTGAACCAAACTTACATGGATGATGCATCATGGGATGAACACTCTCAAACTTGCTTCAGATGCTGGATATGACTTACATTTTCTGGATGAGTGACTAGTTTAAAGTTTTTAGGTTAGTCCATTCCCAAGTAACTGCAAGCCCAATCGAACCAAAATTACTTAAATGTTACATCTAGGGATGCACACTACTAGATTATTAGTTTGGGACTTTGCTTTACTTATAGACAACATTCGTTAAGGTGAGCTCTGTAATCTCTGATTACCTATGATTTTTTTATTTAAAAAAAATGATATATAGGTGTAAACAGAGTTTAACAATTTCATTTTCAAGAAAGGGTACGAACCGTATACACCCAGAAAAAAATCAAAGACAAAGTATTCACTGTTGCTTTCTTAAATGGGAAAAATACATGCAAATTAAATGTTCAGTTGATTTATCTTAATAACATTTTAAGAATGCTGGAGTAAAACTGTATAGATATCAATTAATATTATTTTACATCAAAGAGCAGATCACTCTTAACTCCATAGAAATGCCATGGAATTAGAACTTTATTGTGCAGTGTATTGAGAATTCTTAAGTTGGCAAGTTAAAATGAGTTGTAAAATAATGGGTGTTTCAGACACACTGGTGCTTGTTTCATGCATTATGATAGTTTACCACTGTTGTATAATAGTAAACTAGCATTCAGTATGAAACAAGTGCCTGTGGTTTAATATCATTATTTGTAAAAACTTTATTTTTAATCACACAAAATTCTTCCAAACAACTTTTAAATCTGAAGCCATGGTTTAAAGTTAATAACCACAAGAGTGGGGTTTAGAGTCATAAAATGTGACTAAATGTTGTTAATTCTATTAAAGATCCGAGAACAGTGTTACTAGCTTTAGATTGTAACTGTGTACATTGCTGTTAGTAATTTTATAGCCACAAACTATAGATTATTGCTTTGTACTTATTTAACTGTAAAATTAAAAAAAACAACTTAGAAATACTATAAAAATAGGGATATGACATTTATTACAAGGGGAAGATAACAGGGAAATGCAAAAGTAGTGTTTGCTAAAATATCTTCTCAGGAACCACTGGGCAGATTATCACCAAACTTATGCATAAGGATGAGGATATGTTGTAGATTATAAATTGTTCAAGATATCACCCTGGAGCAAAGGGCATGGTCACTTCAAAGTTGACATAAAATTGTGTTTTGTTAAAACTTTGATATTTTGCCCATTATAAGGACTAGGATCATCCAATCTTGTCAGTTGATGCATCTTAGGACTTCATGTCATGTTGACTCACCATGACCTACTTTTTGAATTTTGCAGGTATTCATTTTCAATTTGATTTTGATGCATATCTTGGACACTTGAAAGCCTATGATCATCAAAACTTGACATTTTATGCATCCTGGGGCCCTGAAGTGTGTCAACCAAAAAGAAGAACCTTGTAAGTTGATGCATTTTGGGGCCTTGAAACATATTTATTAAAAAGTAGGTCACAGTGATCTACTTTTTGAATTTTGCAATATTCAATTTCAAATTGTTTTAGAGGCATAATTTGGACTCTGTGAAGCCTAGGATCATCAAACCTTGTCAGCTGATGCATCCTAAGGTCTTGGAGTATATCAACAAAACGTAGGTTAGAGTGACCTATTTTTGTAAATTTATGGCTATGTTAAAACATTTCAGATACTAATTGGTTTAGAATCATCAAATTTTAATTGTCAGTTGATGCATCTTGAGTCGTCCAAGTCGGAGTGTGTCAAGCAGAAAGTAGGTAACGGGACCTACTTTTGGAATTTCATGGCTATATCTAAATATTTCATATAGGAGGCTTAGCATCATCAAACTTTGTAGGTTGATGCATCTTGGGTTCTTGGCGTATTTTAATCAAAAAACTTTAGCACACTCGATCAAAGAAAGTGACACGCTGTTATTGGAATGATAGTATATTTCGTTGTCACACATTTCATTTCGTTCCTACTAATTTTATTTCGTGACCACGATTTTTTTTTTTTTTTTTTAGTGGCCACGTATGGAATTCCATATGCGACAGCCAACTGCTTACTGTCAACTGCTCACTGCTTATTGAAAGCTATATTTGTATTTTTCTTCGAGAAATTGGAAAGTTTACCAAAAATTGTACTGAATGATACATATCCGTTCCTCAGCTAGGAAGGATAACTCTTTAATTTAAAATTTAATTCAAAAAGTTTCAAAATGAAGCTTGAAATTACAATCTTTTCATGCAACAAATTTCATTTCATCCATCTCAATATGATTCAAGGTTCTTTGAAGACTTAGAAACGGTTCTAATGAAAAGTTGATGTTTGTACCCCACAATTACATATTTTTTTTTTTTTAAAAATCGAATTTCTTTTAATATAGCCTTAGATACAAATGTTTATTAGCATAATATAAAATAAGAGGTGATGTATAATGTTTTACAATGATAGGTAATGCTTATACTCCATGCATTATTTAAACAATAAAATGCTTTCTTTGGTTGTTATTACGGGAATTAATGTTGCAGCTGTTGCAGAAAAAATGCATAACCCGCGTAAGCGGGTTATGAAATTTTTTTCTGCAATAGCTGCAACGTTAATTCCCGTACTAACAACCAAAGAAAGATATTTTATTGTTTATATTTATATCTGTGCAAATATTCATGCAAAATTAGATTTAGTAGATGAAATAGTGTATTATTGATATGCACGTCATTGTTAGTTCCATTGAGGAAACAGCCACTGCTCCAGAAATCTGTAGAGGTGATATTTTTTTAAAAGTGGTGTTTACGGACTGATGAACGGCAATGGGTTTCTTAAGAAATAAAGGAGATAGTATTCAGTGGATGTAAATATAAATTAATTCATGTAAACAAAAGAAACTATTGTACAGGATAAGTATAAAAATTATGAAATTTTCTTCAAATGCCTGGATACATTTAGTTTTCAGCTTAAAATATAATTGTTTACCAATTTTCAATTAAAAAATTCACAGTGTTTCTATTCACATTTCCTAAAATATTATTTGAGATTTACTAATTTTCCCTATGTAATATGATTAACTTTAATGGTGAAGTAAGAAGAATTACAGTGAGTAAATACATATTACTTTGAGAATTCAGAGATATTTTTGTGTGCATTTTCAATTATTTAATGTCTGGTTTTCAGAACCCGAGGAATGGACTACCTTAAAGCTAAAGTGGCGAATTCTGTAATAATTGAGTAAAAATATACAATTGATTTACAAGTAAGTCATAAAATGAAACTTGCGGATAATAAAATGATTCAGAAGTTCAAGTCGATTCTTTGAAATTAAATGCATATTTAAAGGTTACTTACCCCCCCCCCCCCCTCCCCTTTATGTTGTATTATAATTTAGTCATGGTAACTTGGTGTAATGTATTAGAAAAAAAATACATTGAAAAAAAGTTGGACCCCCCTCCCCCAACCTTCTTCCTCCCTACCTCTGCGAAATATTATTTTCGAGTTTGGAGACAGTTTTCTTCTTCTTTTTTTCTTGTCAAAGTTTATTCCAGGTAAGTTAGATTTTTTTTCCTGGTAACCCCCTCCCCCCTTTCAAAAACGAAACTAGGTCTCTGACTATAAAATCAGTTGTTAAAGACCACTGTTAATCAGAAAGAAAAAATTGAATTATTTTATTTGTGTATGACATGTAGATAATTTTGGTTAAAGATGGTCTTCATATTGAAAATGATATGAAAATATATATTTAATTTTCAAGCTCCTATCTCTGTAAATTAAAGCAATCTGTTTAAAATTAAT